CAGATGACGTTTATTTTATTTAAAATGCTTCTACTTATTACGCACGGTCATGAGCATTTGTCACCAGACAACCTTTCGGCGATTGTGATATTATTTCTTTTTAAATTAATAAATCGCACATCACACCTTAAATATACCGGTATATACACGTAATCACACCATGGTTTCCTCTTGCAGAAATTTTATATAAATTTTCACTCGCTACTTTTTTTCGAAAATCTTCACATTTTCGCTAAACAAAATATTCAAAGTTAGGATTTCAAAAAGCTTATTGCTGTAGAAAGTATATTCATCTAATTTATACCTATCCATTAGTTCATAAGTTTACGATAATGTTGAACCATGGATAATATGACACCAGGAGAAAAACAGTTTCTCATTTTTACTTAGACACCTCGTAGGTAAAGCTGCTCTGTGCTGGTTCAATTGTCGGTAGTACAATTATGTTGTAGAATGAGTTCTTTTTCCGTCGGCCGTACCTATATCTATTCGCCGCCCGTCCGGAGCATCGGAATATTAAATACAGATTTAATATTCTGTTTGTTATTAACATTGTTGTTTAACAAGCCATGTCTACTAAATGATTAACTATATATAACATATTTCTTTGATAAAAGCACTTGTAATTTAATCTTTAGACAAATATCATTATATTATGAATTCAGCAGGGGCCGAGGCTACTGATTTTTACCGCCGTACTTAGAGTTATTAAATTTCTACTTTATTAAATCCTAAGCAATTGTTACAGAATCACCGAGAAATACTTTAGTTTTAGTAATTATGATGTCTCAGAGTATTGCAGTAAGTCTATCTATTAGTAAATATTATAACTTTCAATGCGTTTCAATTGCCTTACTGCTTACCAGCTTTTGCCTGCGACATCGTTCGCGTAGAATAGTGCCTTCCGGCACATTTTTGGTTTTCTCCACATAGTTCCTGATCTCGCGGGATTTTTTCGGGCTAAAAAATATCCTTATGTCCTTTCTCGAGTACCATACTATGTCTATTCCAAATTTCACACAAATCCTTTCAGTAGTTTAGGCGTGAAGAAAAGACAGAAAGAGTTACTTTCGCATTTATACTTATGTGCCGCAGACCCTGGAGTGTTCTACGGTGGCTGGCGTGAGGAGGATCTTTCGATCATACTCGCGCCGCCTCCTTCATTGCAAGCACAACTGTTTCGCAGAAGGAGGAGACGGTTTCCAATTCCTCACATTTCGCACCATGACTTGGACTAGATGATTTACGTTCATCAGTTTTAACTGATGAAAAGTAGGTTCTATATTGCATTTTCAGGTGTCACCTATTTTTTTTTTTTATGGTATAAGTTGGCAAACGAGCAGACGGATCACCTGATGGTAAGCACTCGGCGGCGCCCGGGGGCACCCGCAACACCAAATGAGTTATGAGTCCGTTGCCGGCCTTTTGGGGATAGGGTTTGCGGATAAAAGGATCGGGAAGGGATAGGGGAAGGGGAGGAATTGGGCCTCCGGTAACCTTGCTCACACGGCGAAACACAACGCTGTGGTTGTTTCACGGCGGTATTCTGTGAGGCGGTGGTATCACTCCGGTCGAGCCGACCCATTCGTGCCGATTGCCGAAGCTTGGCTCTCCCACACAGATTATTTTATCGAGAGACGATCTCCGGCCACCCAAAGCACAGGTTTGCGGACGGCGAGTAAGAGTATCTTGCCACACGACCAGGACCAGATCCGAGCATACGGCGCGTAGCGTACCGCGCGCGCCTCAAAGAGCCAATAGACTACCACAGACAAAACCCGTCTATTGCTCACCGGGGTTACGGGTTAAGCGCAATAAGTCACCGCGGTCTCGGCCCAGAGCAGGAGAAGGAACGGGGGGGGGGGGGAGTTAGTCAGTAAGAGTCTGACTCTCTCTCGCCTTACTCTGGGCGGGAGAGGTCATTTGATGATTTTCCCATCACCAAAAAAAGGTTTCACCTGTTTTACAAAATGTTATCAAGTTAAAACATAATCAATTTACAAAAAAACCGTTGTTCTTGGGAAATGAATTATTCTGAGAGTTCATTTAAAATTGTAATATGCGTTGCTCGTCGCCCGTCGCCCGGCGGTCCCTCGCTCCATTTCTGCCAGGCCTGATAAAAACTTTAAATAATTTTTAGCAATATGTCCTAAAACAAAAGAATACCAACACCATTCTTTGCTTTTTGTAGTGAGTTATGATTTCAATATTTATTCAGTGTTCTGAATTCTCAATCGCCTTTTAAATTGTACGTGTAACTTAGACCTTGTTAGAGGATTTAGTATCATGGTGTATAGGTACACACTTCTTCTAGGAATTACATAAATAATTGTGTTTTTTGCAGTTCTGGTTCAGCCTGCTTAAAATTTTCTTCTAAATAGCCGCTTTGTACCAGAATTTTAATATGAGTCTAGTACTTTATAATAATACTAGCTCTTACCCGCGGCGTTGCTTCCTTCATTTGACTACCTACCCTACTCTACCTAACCTTCTCTACCTACCCTACGAACCAACCCTACTCTACCTACCCTACTCTATGTACCCTATGTCCTTTTCCTGGCTCTAAACTACCTTCCTGCCAATTTTCAGCTAAATCGGTTCAGCCGTTCTTGAGTTATAAGTGGAGTAACTAACACGACTTTTTTATATATATAGATAATTATAATAATAATAGGTACTTTATTTCCATATATTACATAATAATTGATTGTTTGATATAAATTAATATTAAAATTACAATTAAAGTTGTGGTCCTATACTTGAAGGTGCACAAGGATTTGTAACTGCTGTAAATTAAACATAAACTGTTTAATTTTTAGCATGTAAGTTGTAATCTTTGTTGGAGATCTAAATGAATACAAATAAGCTCATTGGTCACTAATGTGCAGGTGGTGAAATACTTGGAAAGTTTATTTAGACTACACTTTCAGAGTTAATGAAAGCACACCAAGAAATACTGAAATAAAAAACATCAAATTATAAGATTGACATCGTCAATCCGCTATGAGGGAGCGCAATCCGCTATGAAATAATTCCTTTTCCATGGGTAAGGCTCTCTCCTGTAGTATATCTTGATATAAGTCATCCTGTATATGTATGTATTCGTTTGTTATCGATTGCGTATAATTACTGTCCCACTGCCGCGTTTTCAATACAAACAAATCTACAATGAAATCTTCGTCTCCTTATGAAGTTACCTTTATATGACGATAACGGACTGTAGATATGTTCTTCCTTTTACGTCTACGCTTATCTTGAGCCAGTAGTAGTAATACGGGTTTTTTGTGAGAGGAAAATCATCAAATTATTAGAACCTTACACGCCGTCCACAGTCCTCCGCTTGTGGTCGAAGATCATCTCTCGATCGCCGATGCTTGGAGTGTTGCCAATTACGGCGGCTTTCTTTGCTAGCATTACTAGTTCGCGGAAAGAGGAGACGGCTTCCCAGTTCCTCTCACTCCGCACCATGACCTCGTATAAGGCCGGACGTGAGAGGGTGCCGTCGCCGATTACGGGGTCTTACCGCTGCTATAACAGCATGCCCGGTAGTAAGGTATACGGCTAAACCACACATTTGGACTTACTTGCGAAGAATTCCTGGATAAAATAGGTCCTGGGCAATGAGTTTCTTTGTCTTTCTCTCTCGGTAAACAAGCGATTAAATGTATGAGTTCATAGCGCTTTTTCAATCTTGGTTTCTTGTAAATTAAGATTTTAAATATAAATTCGCTCAGGTTTCAGACTTTGAATATAGAACTAGCGACGCGTCCCGGCTCCGCGAGAAATTTTGGTATAAACAAAGCACGCGTGTGCTTTGTTTATACCAAAATTTCTCTACTATTTCCCACATCATCAGCCTATAAGTGCCCACTGCTGAGCAAAGGTCTCTTCTCGATTCGCGATTTCAAACCTATAATTAGAAATTTTAGGTCCGGTTTTCTTCACGATGTTTTCCTTCACCGTATGTCAGTGGTGTCTAAATAATCATAGAAAGTACATATAACTCGGAAAAAGTCACGTAGGTACTTGCCAGGCTACGAACCCGCAATCTCATGCAAAAGAAGTGGGCGCCCTAACCTCCAAGCCAGCACGACCTATCTGTACTTTTATGGATGTTATTACATATAAACCTTCCTCTTCAATCTTTCTAATCTACAAAAAAAACCGCATCAATCATCGTTGGGTAGTTTAGATTTAAACATACATACATATATAAGATATAGGGTCCAATAAACGGGCAAAATGCATGCTGTCGTACCTTTTATTGAAAATTATATAAACATAGACTAAGTATACATACATTTCCACATTTAGGTATATTACATGGGTAGAAAGTTAGAATATAATATTTTAACGATGTTTTCGTAGAAGATACTCATGCGGAAACATTAAGATCTCTCGAGGTCGCGAGGAGTGCACGCTAAAACATATTTATGCGATATTATAACGAGAGAAACACTCGAGGGCCGCACTCCACGCCGCCCGCCATATAACAAGTAATCGTGGCACGGCCACGCCATTAACAACGGGGCACACAAAAGTTTAGCGAAAGGAAAACATATGAAAAGCGACCGGCCTGAATGCCCCACGCCCACTCCTCACCATTTTCACGCAAATTAAAAGACACAAACGTATCCATAGACAAGAATTTCCCGCGCGCGCTAAAACACACCATTCACAGACGTCGTATTCAATTGCTCGAGAGCGAAACGGAACGCCCCGAGGCATTAATTAGAGCAGAAAACTCGCGTCTATGGCCGTTCCTTTTTTAAAAGTAAGGTCTTTATGCGAGCCCCCGCCTTTGTGCGCGTTCCGTTTGTGCTCACGGTTAAGTGTCAAGTCTTAGTGTCAAGCGATGCTTATAACCTCTTTGTTGACTATAATTTACGGGAAATCCGCATCCCACCAACAAGCTGAGGACCTTTCAATTGCAAGCAAATTCCTTCGTTTATGCCTGCTACTTGATACAGTATTCATTTGACGTAACGTTTTGTTCCCAGGTCAAACAAATATTGAAGAAGACCAGGACAGGTTGCGGTGCAATTCAACAGCTAGTCCGAACGTTGAAACATCCGATGCTGAAGATGATATTTCCGTCGGTGACAATAGAAGCGAGACATCCACACCGAAAAAGTCATTTACTTTCCCAGATGAATATAAAAAGAAATTAGATGGAGAAGATGTGGAAAGGTCATCGCCCTTAGAATATAATTTGAATAACCAGGCAAATTACAGTTCTCCTTTTAAAGAAGACGAGAATGAGTATGATAATAGAGCAGAAGAACGAATGAAATTGTACGATACCAGTCTATTTCACTTGTATCGATCGGAAAGAGATGGGAAAAAGGACGAGGGATCGGAAGGGCCTAGTTATGAGCACATGGCCGGCTTGTCCGACACAATCTATGGAAGGTCGATGGATCTGTCGAAGAATTCGTTCCAATCTCAGCTGTTAGCTGGGTTTGCGTCTGTCATTGCTGGGAATACGCAGCGTGAGTCACAGGAGTCAAACGGTAAATGTGAATTTTTAATGGTACTTACAGATTTCTTACCTTTAGGCCTTGCGGTTAAATTTAATCTTTTATCGCGAATAGAGTTTATTAGATTTTTTAATTAGACTAGCTACTGTCGCGCGGTTTTACGCGTTGCTTCTACAGGTCGTAGCGAGATGTTTTATAGCCTATGTCCTTCCTCGAAAAATGGACTGACAACACAAAAATATTTTATCAATTCGAACCAGTAGTTCCGGAGATTAGCGCGTTCAAACAAACAAACTCTACAGCTTTATAATATTATAAAAATAATGCTACAGATTTATTAGTAGATTTAGTTGCATTACAAATGTGTAAATGGCTGTTTCTCCTATCTTAGAGCGACAACCTGGCAGTAGGCCGACAGTGTCATCAAATTCAAGTCGCAAGCCGCGCAGGCGCCGCACGGCATTCACGCACGCTCAGCTCGCATACTTGGAGCGCAAGTTCCGCTGTCAGAAATACTTGAGTGTTGCTGATCGCGGAGACGTGGCTGAGGCGCTCAGTCTCAGCGAGACGCAAGTCAAAACTTGGTACCAGAATCGAAGGTAACATTTGTTTTATAATTAATTATATATCAGTTTGGCCTTTGGCCACCAACTTTCTAGTCATAAGCAATAATGTGACCGACAATCAGAGAGAAAGAAAATCAATTAGTGACTAAACCCCGGACTTTTCGGTTTGATGTAATTTCATGATTCATGACTAGTCGTCGGATTGATGTAGTTTCAAAAAGTCCCATGCCGGGCGCCAAAAAATTTTTTTTTTTCATTTTACTTCAGTTAGATTTCTTTGGATGTACTGCCGTACTGTAAGTGGGATTGATTTAACGATATATTGGGTAATTGTTCAATTTAATAAGATTATAATAGAATAGGTTTGTGCGCAGGACGCGATTCTTACGTATAAAAGTCTTGTTGCGACTAGAAACCAAAACTGTAAAAGTATCACATAGCGTATGTAGAAGTATGAATAGTACTGCGCTATAATATCAATATTTGACTGATAGGCACACACATAGCTCGATTGGACTAGGCTCCAAAAATAGTTGGGTTGGAACTAAATTCATTTCAGGTTAGCCATACAATTTACTGAACTTATTCGAAGTGATACAGAATACCCACTTAGTAGGTCATACAGTTTATTAAATACTTATTCATACGTTTTTTTATCCTTTTATTAGAACTAAATGGAAGCGACAGAACCAGTTACGTCTGGAGCAGCTGCGTGCGCAAGCGGCGAGTGGAGAGCGCGAACTGTCGGCGCACGCGCTGCCCCTAGCCTGCGCTTTGCTACCACCTTATCCTGCATACATGCACTGTCATCTTTGAGCGTTTAACAATCACAAATTAATATAATATACTTGTTAAATCACATCACACATCATCAGCCTATAAGTACTCACTGCTGAGTAAAGGCCTCTTCTCACACGGAAAAGGTTTGAACATTAATCACCCCGCTTGCTCAAGGCGATTTCAAACTTATAGTTAGAAATTTTAAGTCCAGTATTCCTCACGATGTTTTACTTCGTTGTTTGTCAGTCGTGTCTAAATAATAATCATAGAAAATAAATAAACTGGGAAAAAGTCGCGTTGATACTTGCCAGGGTTCGAACCCGCCACCACCACTACAACTGTTAAATATAGTAAATAATAACTATTAATTTATCATGTTAAACACTCACGCTAACGCGCGGCGTTCACTGTATTATGTGTCGTGCAACACTGCTCATGAATATGAGCCCTCAGCGTGGCTTGAAACTGAGCGAGTTATCTTGTCAAACTTTTACGTGACGCTTAGTCACGTAAGGGTAGACATAATTAATTAATGAAATATGTATCCTGAAAGTAATTCCTACAATAATAACTATGGCTAAAATGTTATATTGTCATTTCCTTATAATATATCATGTTTAGGTTTTTATTGAATCGTAAAGTAACGATACTGTAAGTAAAAAAAATCGTTATTTGATTTTTTTTTGTAATGAAATTAGATAAATAAATAAATATAAATATGTAGTTGACTCCTAGATTAAATTTTAAACAGAAAATTAACTATTGTTATTCTTATCATAATAGTATAACATAAATATAAGTTGTAAATTATAGATTAATTTGGTAAAATATAAGTCTTACATTGTGCAATAATTTAGAACTTGGTTAAGAATTAGTTAGATCATTGGTTTATGGATATTTATGAATCTAGTACGTATGATACTAGTATCTAAGTACTCAGTTTTTAGCATATATGTAAATAAAAATAGGTAACTCGTAACCAATTTGTGTAGAATCAGGAATTTATTGAGGTGAATATATATGTATAGTTTAGTTTTGTTTATATCAACTTTTGTATGTTCTATCACCTATAACATTTTAAATATTTAGTTTTACCACTCTGTAGTACCTATCCATAAATCCAGTTAAATTTTATCAAAAATTGACAATTATCTGTCATGCGTGTAAAATAAATCATTATAATGTTGTACAGTTAGATATTCATAGTACGTACGGTAGATATTCCAACACATCTCTGTGTAGAATCCGCAACCGTAGCTTAATGTTGAACGACATAAACCAAATGGTAATAGAAAGTAAAATGATCTTAAATCACCCACAGCTTTTCAATCAAGCTCCATTTCTGAACCCGCCATTCAATTCTGTGCGAATTATGCAAATGTTTTGGCGCCATTCCGAATCATGGCTGCCAACCGCTCGCAATTTGCATCTCTTAGCGAGTTGTTAACATTTGAAACGAGAACAAAGCCGCTACAGCGCTCGGTATTTTAAGTGCAGTAAGTATATGCGCTCAACTTTACCTCGCTTTAAAGCGCAGCAACGCTTTAAGAATAGCAAGTTTGCGAAGCCGGCAACTTTGACCGGGTCTCAGAGTCACATTTACTGTTCAATTTATTCAAACAAATGCTAATTTGTAGCTTTTCGTTTCAAAATTGTTGATTATTTATCCGTCTTTATTTCAGATTTGAGCAAACGAGGGTTTATTAAAGGGTGGCTTCGTGTAATTGGACTGTTTTGATGTGGCGGGGTGTGGCGGGGGCGGCGCGGGGGACGGTGAGGGTAATTGAAGTATTTTCCCGACGTTTGGAGGGTAGTTACGTTACCCGAGGCTGAATGGATTAGTTAGCGCGCCCGAGATAACGATCTGTCAATGATGCCTGTATAATGGGCGGTGTCACGGCGTCGCTTGTATTCTTTTATTAGCAGTTATTTGCTGGAGATTACGTTCGCTTAGTTTATTTTGATTTAACCACAGTGTGTGCCCAGCGTGCTCACTGGCTTGTGGACGTTTTGTAGCGACTTTAATGATGTGATTACTGTGGCTGCTTTTATGTATGTTTTCCTTTCATATCATGGGAACGAACTATTACCTACATTTTCGATCATAAATAAATTAATATGAACATTTTGTTTACGATCGAAGATGGTCAACTTTATATCATGGACTTAAAAAACAATTTACATTGAAATCAACTTTTCGGTGGATATTATCGGTTTCCAAAAAGTGCAGTGATTGTATATTTGTAAGATTTATTCAGTATACCTTGTTTAATTGGTTAATAAGCTATCATTTTTATGTGTTTACTGCTGTAGTCATAAAATAGATAATTAACATTATTTTAATAAAATAAATTTGACAGATTTAAATTTTTTCTTGAACTAGTAAGATTTCCATCATGTGTTCAGGTGTTTTGCTTCACATCCTTTTCCTTTTTATTTAGCAGCTTTCACAAATTCGTTACAATTATTTAAAATACAAATTATAAACATATAGGCAGGATATTCTTGAATACGCGTTATGACTTTTTCTTCGGCAGTTGATTAGTTCTAACTTTGTTTAGGTTTCATATCTTACCATGTAGTTATTTTTTAAATGTCTTTCTTTATTTGGTTGTGATTAAAAGTGTAATTTCAGAAGTTCTTTCAATCTACACGCACATGATTATCTCCTGTGTCGTGGACTACGTTTACAAAGATATACATCCACAAAGTATATCTCGTGTATATCTTGTAATTTTTGTAATCCACAAAAATTACAAGATATACATACACAAGCCACCCAGACCCGTAACTAAAAACTTTTACAAGAAACAATTAAAACTTAATAATAAAGTAATAAAAAAGTTTCAGCTTTTTCTTAATATTTTCGAATATTTTGAGGAACGGTATTTAGGAATTTGGGAATTAAATGAAATAAAAATTGGAGATGGTGGATGGTCGATGAGTCGGTTTCATCGGAATGGCCATTCCGGCCTATTTGTGGTTTCACCGGAATGGCTCATTCTTAATTTATAGAATCAGGCGTTACTTTGCGGAAATCCATGACATTAAATGTTAGGGTAAATATTTAGTTTTTATTCCGCGACAAAAATCCAGGCTTGTTGCAGGATGCAATCCAAAACTAAATATTTTTCCTAACATTTAACGACTCATTCTTGCCAAAGCATGATTAAGAATCAAAAACTTACATAAGCACTTTAGTAAGACTTAACAGAGTACGCTGACAGTAGTTAGATAGTGTTGCCTGATACGTGCAATTTGTACCATTTGAATTCGAATCCGTAATTTGTCGCGTAGTATTATTGCATCTACCTACAAACTACTCGTATAGGAATACTACAGTTAAACTGTTCAAGACGCAATGCTCGACAATTTTGATAAGGTTCCGCTGATACAAACAAGAAACTAGATAGCCATCAGCAAACCATTTTCATAGTGTTCGGAAAATGTACACAACATATTATTGAAAACTTTATACCTACTCTTAAAGATCTACTTACTATTTTTAATTAATATTTCAACATAGTAGTAGTAACTTTAAGACAGATTTGAATAAAATCAACAATACTGTAAAATAATTCATACCTATGCTAAATATACAAATATTGAACGTCCTAGCCAATAACCATAAACGAAGTTATGCATCATCGACCAAATCATAAACAGGCTTTTAATCAAATCTGGTGCTAGTCTTGGCATTTGTAAATGTTAACAATCGCAAAAACATGTTTTTCCTTTACCACATTACCCTATTTGTAACAATCAGTAGCATTAAGTGCCAGCAAATGTTAAATGAAGAATTAGTTATTTCCGAAACTAGGGCTGGCGAAAAAGGGAACATGCGGAAGACAAAAGTGGAAAGAAGGTTTCTCGAAGATTTAGATGACTACGAATGGCACGTGGCTCATCTTCGGGACGCGACCCTCGATGGCAGGAGAGATTGTATGGATGATACGTTTGCAGACAAAGTTAGGAGGTACAGGAGGATGTTAAAAAATGATGGGGCCAGAGTCGACTTCGTGTCTAGTGATCCCATTCCCCTAAACACTGCTGATGTAGGAGATAACGTTTGCAAAGTAAGTGATGATAACCTGAAAGAAAATCAAAATGACCCTCTGAAAATGGCATCGGCAAGTTTTGTTAATGTCACTGGTAAAATAAATATCGCGCCTACAGCGTCTGCATCAAATGTTACCGCGTCTGAGAATGCAACAACGGCCATGAAACCGGAGACCACCACTACAAAATTGAATCACCAGGCGACCACGCAGAGGGCAGAAGCCAAGCCTGCCTTGAAGAAGAAAAAGAACATAGAGAAACAAGAGAAGGCAGGGAATGATACGGCAGGGAGACGAACCAGTGAGTATATGTTCAGCTCGATAGAGTACTACGATGAGTCGGTGGAGTTCAACACGGACATGTGTCCGGATGCTGTAGAAGTGATCGAACTGGAGATAGACCAACTCCGGAATTACGACATCGAGTGCGAGATGACTGTAGAGTGGAGGAGTTTAGAATAATTGATTTTTTATTTTTATTAAAGAGACTGTTAAAAGAACCTAAAAAACAACAAGGACATACAAGGCCAGTTTATTATTCAGGTTCAGTTGACGAAAATTACGATAACCTCACTGGACACATGATTACGTATTAGTATTTATTTGGTTTTAAAGTACGTCCTGTATTTTACAGAACTTAAATGTTTTCCTTTCTTGGCTAAGAAAATTTGGAAGGTATGGATATAGGAAAAATAAAAAATACAAACTTTTCTTGCCTAGCAGTTCACGTTTTATAAATTCTTTCAAAGTAGGTAGAGGTGCGCATGTGATGTCAATACACCAACGATGTTTAGTCACGCATTTTATGTCTAGGACTCTAGATTTCGGACTCTTAACTTTAAAGAAAGAATGAGAGTAAGTAAGATAATTTATTTGTCAAACATGCAATGGGTCGGACATGCAAGGTATTAATAATATGTTGTGAGAGACCATGTTGTCTTTTCTTTTTTATTTTTAATTAAAAGCTCCCCCACGCTAGTATTTTCTTCTGTGTCGTGGGTGCGGTTACGAACATACACATGACACCCAGACCCGGAACATTAATTTATGGATCACACAAAGAGTTGTTCCGTGCGGGAATCGAACCCGCGACACGTTGCAAGACAGTCGGTTGCCCAGCCACCGCACCAACGTACAAATACTGTAGACCTAAACATTATATTATTTTATTACACAATACACAAGAAATTAATGATAATTGGGGTCAAGATATGATATGAAGCACATAGGAGCAAGAAATTATGTGACGTTGTATGGAGGCCGGGCAGTTGTATAAATGAAATTATGTCTGAAATTCATATTATATTGTTTTTTTCAACCAATTCTTAACCACAAGTGGAAAGAGATCCTTTTCATTCAAAAAATGTACAAACACTATAGTACACTTTTTTTACTAAAAAAAGTAAAAGCTTATTTTGAATAGCAGTAACGGCAGTTCTCGACAACTTTTGGGTAAAATATTATAATATATTATAGAAGCCATACAGAAACACTTTTGCGCATATGAGGTGTTCTCGCAGCATGAGAGCGTATCCTTCTGTTGTCGCGCCTGTTAGGTGGGACAATCTGACCATTGATTGATCTGATTCATTGTTTCATTTCATCCCTAATCCCCAAAAGGTCGGCAACGCACTCGTAACTCCACTGTTATTGCAGGTGTCCATGGGCGGCGCTGATCTACCATTTCCTCCTTTGCCGACCTATCACATAAAGGGTTTTGGATATTCAATTCAATCTGCTGAACGTTTAACATTTGCTCTTCTTATTCGAGTTCACTTTTTATAAGACACTAGCCAACCTTCCCCGGGAACCCCCACATATAAAATTTCAGCGAAATCGTATGGCCTGTTACCGAGATAACATGCTTTTATAAGCAATCAGCGCTATCTGCCGGGCTGATTAGTAAATCTAAACCACAAAAGGCGCCACTCAAACACACACAGATTTTTTTTTATGTAATGTAATAGGTCGACAAACGACTCACACGGATTACCTGATAGTAAGCAATCAGCGCCGCCCATGGACACCCGCAACGGAGGAATTACGAGTGCGTTGCCGACCTTTTAGGGATTAGGGTTTTGGAGATTAAGGGATTGGGGTGGGATCGGGGAAGGGGAATACACAACGTTACAGCAGAATTATATATGTAAAGATAAAGCATTATCTCTACAGTTCTTCTTAACTTTTAAAGATTGTATTGCTTCAGAACCGCCATCTGTCGTCCGAAATTCTTTAAATTTTCCTTTGATGTGTATAGATTGTTCGTGTAAGAATCTAACTCTATGATAGAACCCCTTACCCAACATAAACAGTTCGAGTATTCGTCGGGAGATGGCGTTAATAATAATTAACATAGCGGTAAGAACTCCAAGTAATGTGCTACGACCTCTGTTCAGTTAGTTTCGGAATGTTTTACTAGATGGCAGTAGGTATAATTTCAATGCGTGATGAATGACCAAAGGTTCCAGTAAAATTAAACAAAAAAAAAGATAGGACTCCATCTATTCATAGTACAGTCGGGATAAAAGAAGCTTTACAAAGTTGGTAGGAACTATTACTTCATGTTCCTAAGAGCAATAATAACCATTACTGGCAAAAACTGAAGCGTAATAAGCTAGTATACGTTTCTGTACAGTTGTATTGTGCGATATTATGTTATGTAGGGAAATATGACATACTTACTATTAGTATGTTACATGGAACTACAAAGTTGATTACTTCGTTGTGGCTTCAGTTATTTGCCGAGTTAATTAGTTCGCCTTTGCTAGAACGCCGTCAAAGTATAAATTTTCAAATCAGCATTTCTCTGAATTTTATAATTACACTCACGGCTTCGATGTAAAATTATGACAATAAATTCAAAAATGAAAATCAAACACTTCTAAAATTATAATTTTTACACTCTCTGTAACACTTTCTGTATTCTAAAATTATTTTTTCTCTAGTATTTCCTAAATGCAATGCTTCAATGCAGCCAGTATTGTTAGAGCTAGACTTATTACATATTAAAATTAATTAAGTTTAACGACCTCCTTTGTTCGATCCAAGAATCGAAGGACCAAAGCTCGTACCAAAAGGACCTACATTTATTATAAAAGTTTAAAAACAGTTTTTCATTACTTCCATTCATGTTAAAGCTGTCATTTGAAAAATACTTATGTAAGGCAAAGGTGAATCTACAGTCGTAGAAATGTGTGCAAACAAATCTAGTAAGCTGGCCACTACTAATGCCTCCTTGGATTGTAAGGAAGGCATTAAGAAGCCCTGCGCGGCGGGCTTTCGCAAATATCAGGGTTTGTGGGCCGACACACGATTTCATATGTTCACTCACTTCCGACACAAAGTTGATTGTAACTATGTATGTCTTTGTGCTTTAGAAGTCGATTCGATTGCTGTGTGTGTCCGTGTCTTTATACAGATAAAGTTTTTAATAAAACACCGTTTTAGTTGATGCAAATAGTTTTTATTAATATGCAACAACATTGTTAGTAGTTGTCAGTAAATATTGTATCACCGTTTTTTTTTTCAAATATATAACCACATTACTGTTAAATTAGATTAGAAGGACATATAAAAAAAGAATGTTAATATCAATTGCATTAATAAATAGGGCCAAACAATTTTTACGTAGGTACTTCCTATCAACTCTGTTGCACCGGGAACTGAAAGATTAAGTATATTGTCTACATTGACTATCGACCTCTTCCCTTGTCTGGACGCCTGGTACTTCGGGAGCACGCAACACGTGAGGTGACGTGTTGCCACGTGTAGACATTTCACACATGGAGGGGTTCCCTCTTGTCCGTAGGGAGCACACGCAGGAAATGTTTACATGTGGTCGACATGATGTGTCGCCATGTTGAACGGAACACTCAGGGTGCCTTTGGTAAGACACCCTCGATGTTACCTCCATAAGTCCTGAAGTTTAAACGCACAAAAGAAAAGTATGTCAATGAATTAACAACTCCTTACATTTTAGCGTTTTTCCGCACATTTTCAAACACACCAAAATTCAAGAAAAATTGTCATCATTTTTTATGAGCGTTTTTAAATATTTTTCTAAATTGGATGATTAGGTAATAGTACCTACTACATTAAAGCATGATTGATATTAATGATGATTACGTACCTACGTATAATTTGTTGCTATCTTAGTGATATTACATTATTTTCTATCCCAGCGCCAAAGTCTAGCGTTCACTAAATACTAAACACAGTCAGCTTTTAGAAGGACGCCAGAAAAAACATAGCTCTCTCTTTAATATACCAAACTTCCCGACTTGCATCCTTTTCCCACGAGGGTGTCCTAGGGTATGCAATAACACAATTTCCCTGTCCTAAATATACGAGAGTAAATGTACTTTGTTTCTAACTAGATAAGGTTGACAATCGAGAGCTTTATGAATTAGAAGGATAAGGGGATGAAAAGGAAAGATATTTTCGTATTATGCTGCAAGCAAAAATGCATTATAAGTTGTATGCGTTTTGTTAGTGATTGCTATGATGGCGATTATTATCGCGGCAAGGGTGACTGTGACCAATTTATTTGAAACTTTATTGCATCGGGTTTAGGGGTGTATGTAGCTTATGGTAGAGAACTCTAATAATTCCTGGCTGTTTCTGCTATCCTAGTGACGAATGCCCTTTAAAACGTGACGTCAGGCTGAGTTTCACACGGTTCTCTCAGCTGTTTTTGTACCAAACAAAGATTTCCGTTTTTAACGGTTAAAAAATAACGGTCCAACATGTGAGAATACGCAGGTACACAGCTTTGGAATGTACTTTTTTTTTAAAAGCACAAGTTGAAAAGAAATAGATTATGTAGATTGCCGAAAAAAAGATTTATTAACAGAGCGGACGGATTACCTGATGGTAAGCAATCGGCGCCGTCAATCTACACTGGTGATAGGTACCTATCAAAGAAGTTATTACAAGTGCGTTGCATGCCTATGGGGGGTGGATTGCATTTTTAATCAAAATCATGGATATATTTGTAAAGCTAGGTAATGATAATGGAAGAAAATATAAAAGTTGTCTGCTCCTTTGCAAAACCTGCTCGAAAGGGAAATATTAATTTTAATAAATTATTAAATAAAAAAATAAACTTATGTTTAATTGAAATTTTTGCACTCCGAGTTATGTGTCCGATAGTACAATCACTGCATTTTTATTGCTCAGGAGTTGAGCGTTGCACACAGATAATTTGAACCCCTGCTAGTTGCTGCTGTCCGGGTATTTTATGTCCTTTGTGATGACGTCACTGGTATGTCCATCCTGGCCATTACTTTTTATAATAGTTGTAATATTAGAAACTAGCTACTCTCGCGCGGTTTCACTATTTGATCGTAGCGTGATTTTTTATAGCCTATCGCACTCAGGAACATAGTAGCATATCTATCAGTGAAAGAATTTTGGCAATCCGTGAAATAACCGTTGTGTTTCGCCGTGTGAGTGAGGTTACC